GTCATTGGCCCATTGCAATGGTTTATTAATACAAGTGTATTACTGCTATTATTTTTATATCTATTCATTTCTAATGTTGCAAATTATTAGAAAACAATAAACTTGATCTTGAAATAAGAATTTTGCTTGTGTTGTTGCCTTTGTTTCCTATTGGAATTTTCCTATGACAATAGTTGTGGATCAATATTTATATTAATAGTTGTAGCAATTCGTACCTTTTTGTCAAAATATAAGGCTATATTAACACTAATCATTGTTGATTGAGTTTTGACTTAATATATCAGCCAATATCTGTGTAAAAAGTAAGGGTAAGCAGCACATGGTTGGTGTGATGTGTGAATCAGATAAGTGAATTAGTTTGAACTGATAATTGGAAGTTTTCTAAATCTGCTTCTGTCTTGGGAACCCCATCCAAGTAGGAATCCTTTCATGTGACCTCAGAAAGCCATCTATTTTCTAATTTGTAGCCCAACCATGTTTTCTGTCCATGAACACCCTTTTATGTACAGTAATCAAGTATAAAAACTGATAGCTATTTTCATTGTATCCAAAATTAACACAGTATGGTAAAAAATATTTAGAATCAGCACAACTGCTCATATATAAATTTATTTTCATTTACTTCTTTTTTATTTCTTGGGGGATGATAATAATGAAAATGTGTCCACTAGATCTTTGTTTCAGCGTGGTTGTTGCATTCTTTAAGTTGCAGGCTTGAAACTTAAGTCACTGTGTGAGAGTATTGGTTTTGTTCCTTTCTGTATGCTTGCCATACATATTATTACTTTATTATAAATAGAGAAAGGAAGGAATATAATCAGTTCTTCATAAAAAATGATTAACACTGAAATTAATTAATGTACCATATTTCTTGGTTAATAAGACATACCTCCCCCCCCCCCAAAGTAGGTGGAAATGTCTGTGTATCTTATACAGCCAATGTTGCCAAAGCCCCGTCCACCCACTGGCCTCCTCCCTTTGGCTCTGCCTCAGCAATTTGCCTCCTTGCAGCAAACAGCCTGGTCAGCTTCAGCACAATCTGATTTAGCACGAGCAGCTGATTGGCAGTTGGATCTACCTCCCGGAATACCGCCTATCAGCTGTTCCAGGCTGTGGGGATTGCTACCACCCATCACTGCCATGGCCACCCATCACTGCTGCTGCCTATCACTGCCTCAGCATGCTCCATTTTCAGCCTCTGCATGTCCCATTTTTGGCCTATTACAGGTGGTAGGGATCCAAAATGGAACGTGTGGCAGCTGAAAATGTGGCGCTAAGAGGCCAAAAACAGGATGTGTACAGGCAAAAAGTGAGGCACGCAGAGGCAGCAATAGGCGGATTAAGAACTGGGTTAGGCTCCTTAGACTCCTAAACTGAACTATCAGCTTCTACTCTAGGCTAAATATGCAGTGTCAAAATATTATCAGTAACTTTTTCCTTCAGTAAGGCATGTGGTTGTTGAGAAATCCATGCAATTTGTGCATATGATGTAGTGAGATGAATTATGGTTCAAACAATTAAGAATACCAATTCTATAATTGCATATGCTACAATGAGTACCTACCGTATTTTTCAGAGTATAAGACACTTTTTTCCCTTAAAAAGAGGCTGAAAATCTGGGTGCGTCTTATACACTGAATGCAGCATTTTTTGCCTCCTGAAACTCCGCCCCTTCATCAAAATGGCTGTGCATAGCTTTTAGAAGGCTTTCAGAGAGCTCCTGGGGGCTGGGGCGGGCAGAAATGAGCGAAAAATGGCCCTTTTTTGCCCCACCGCTTCCAGCAGCACTCTATAAGTTTCCTAAAGGCTATCCATGCCCTTTTTTGACAAAAATGGGCCCGTTTTCACGAAAAACGGGCCGTTTTTGGGAGGTTTGCAGAGTGCAAAAAATTTTTAAAAAAACTTTCCTCTTCAAAACCTTACTGCGTCTTATGCTCCGGTGTGTCTTATACTCCGAAAAATACGATAATATTATTGCAAGGTTTGAAAGGAGATCAAGCTGCTTATGAAACACAGAACCTGGATGGATAGATGGTTTATGTAAACCAGGGTGGTCAAACTCCTGGCTCACGGGATGGATATGTCATGTGCTGGCCACACTCACAGCCGGTTTAGCGAAGGGCGGAAAGTCCCGATACATCACGTGATGATGCTGTGACGATGTGAGTTTGACACCGCTGATGTAAATTAAAGAAGTTTAAGTTGTCCATGAAGTTATCTATCTGAAGGATGTTCTCATTTAGAACATCTGACTAAAAAGCCTATTTTATAGCAATAATTATCACAAATTTTAAAAACAGTCTTGCAGCTATAGTTCTAAAAGATTCTTGACTATGCTTTCTGTTGTAAGTTGGCTTTTTAATTTGGTATGATAGTCTTGTCCTAGTCATTTCTGTATCTTCATACTAAAAAGTTAACTGCATTCCTTTTTAACTTATGTATGTGGCCACTATCTGATTCCTTTTACTCAAGTCTTGAACAGACTTGCCTATCTGGAACACACCCTACTTTCACCTTAACATGCCACCAGGTTGTAATACATCAATAAATACGTTGTACATTCATGTAGTTGCTGCCTCATTCAAACTTTTAAAAAATAGATTTAGATTAGGTTACCATATTTCTGGCTGGAAATTCTACTAGCAGACCTTCAAATAGGTCTACTAAAGGCCCTGCTTCTCTCCCCCACCCAGCCTCTTCATAATCATGGGCCAGAGGCTGTTTACACATTAGCTTTTTCTCCCTGTGTGCCAAAGCTAAACTGGCAAGAATATATTCACTGTATCAGCTCCCTCATCCTCTGTAAGCTGACAATTAGCTTTGTGGTTAAATTTAGTGGCTGAAATATGATTCACTGCATACATATTAATACTAATATTCAGCCAACAGACAACAATTAATCTTTAAGTGGAATAATGACTGAAAATTCACATGTTCTGTGCTAAGAATTATGGTCTCACATTTGCAATTTCAAAAGTACATTGCAAAGAGGATATTTCATGTTAAATATTTCAAAATGGGATTTCATTGGCTGCAGGTCCACTTGTTCCCAGCCACTTAGTACTGGTATTTTGTACAACATTGTGCAATATTGTGCTTATGTACAACATTGTTGATCAGCATTATTGTTCTAAAAGTTTTTATTTTTGTATTGAATAATAAAAGTATCCAAATTGTAAATGAGCATTTAATTTGGATTAATTTTTTGATATAGAATTTGGTTTAAAAGAGGGGAGTGGAAATTATATTCAAATGCAATCTTAATATTTCTTTTATTTGCCAAACAAGTGAATTCAAATCCATTTAAAAATGGAAACCTATTAAGGATGTATTTCTTTCATTGGATCGTTCCCCTCATTTTCCAAATGTTTTAGTGGTCCATTATTGCAGAATGTTTGAAATGCTGGCATATTTTGTTGTAATGTTATGGCCTTCTGTAGAAAAATTACTTGTTCCATTATATTATTATTATTTTGTGGTTATTTCACACTGCCTTTCTTTTGATTGAATATATACTATGTCTAAGATTAATATTTACATTACTACATTAAATGACTTGTTTCTTTCAATTATTTTTATTCTTGTTTATCATATTCCAGTGCCAGATGTTGACATTCCTATAAAATAGGCCAGACTAAGAAATCACTGTCATATAGGTCAGATCAGACTAAGAAACCAATGGCATATAGATCAGATCTACTTATATTGTAGTAGCTACAGTAACAATTTTGCAAGTTTAAATGTGCTCCCACACACCTGTATGTTCATGTGAACTAGGATGAGATGTTTTCTCAAATTAGACACACTTAAGCCTTGCTTATCTTGACTATTGCTTTGGGAGTGGTCTTCTTCAGTGCCTTCAGTGCCATTCCTTTTCCCTTTTACAGATTTCTACTTAACCCTGCCTTCATTCAGTGCACCAAAAAGTTACTCATAGACTTACTTTATGCTTTTTTAGTACATGCCAATTGAGGAGATAGCAGCATGTCTAATGCAGGTCAATTCCTACAATACTCACACTGTGTAACTGATTTTATGTTTTGGTAAAAGATTTTATGTTTTGGCAACAGACAGCAGCAACCTGCTGGGCATATATGTAAAACAGTCTTTATAGAATTCCAGAGACAAAAGCAGCACAGAAGAATAGCATATTCTTAAACTCCAAATATAAATCAGTCAAGCATCCAAGCTCCAGAATGTGATTGCTCTGCAGAGGATGTAATTTGTTTCCAAATATTATTTGAAAACATAATATGAAAACATATATTATTACATAATTATGTAAACAATAAGTTATTATGTTTGCCTCAATCATATCTGATATGAGTCTTAGTAAATAATAAAGCAAGCAATGGAAATGATTCAAGAATATCCTATCCTAATCCCAAACGTGTAAGATAGTTTCCAAACATGACAGCAATTCCACATTAGTACTCAGTTAATCTTTAACAATGGCAGAGTTTTTAGAGAGGAGTACTAATGAAAGTGAAGAAACTATTTTCCCAAATGAAGGATAAACAAAAGTACTAAATGTATTTTAGTCTTTGGTGTGAGACAGACTTGATATTTCCTCTTAAAGGAAAAGGACTTTACTGAATGAAGTAAATACGAAGATAATTTCTTTGAAGCTTGTACAAATAACTCATATGATTAATCAGGCATCATAAATTGCAAGATGATTCGATCAGCAAACTTAAGACTTGAAGAGGTCAGTAACAATGTGATCAACCTAATTTTTTCTGGTATGTTACCAAGATCCATAGAAAACAGAAACATTGTTTCTAACCTGGAAAAATGGCATAGAAAGCTTTTTTTTAAAAAAAAAAACCCAACAAAGATCTAGCTTATATATTTAAAAACTTATCACAATAATATTGGAAGAAATGTCCATCTGGGTTCAGTTCGAAATGGGAAGACAGACACTGGAAACATGGAGTCTGCTTGGAAAGTTGGTTTAATGGTGGACAGGGCCACATGGTTTGAGATCCTGGGCAAAAAAGGCACATGGGTGAGAGAGGAAGATAAGATTTATAACCTCTCTTGGGCCTCGCCTTGGAGCTTCCTGTTCCTGTGTAAGAAATGTATTCTGATTGGTTGTCAGATTCCCATGGAGCCAGGTTGAATCTTGCTGGGTGATGATGTGCTGAAGAGGCTTTGGGCAATTTCTATTATGGCTGAGGGCTAATCCTACCTTTGCTGGAATTTAGGTGAGGGCATTTGCTTATGAATAGACCTAGCTATCTCTTTAATTCTTAAGTGCTGACATCTGCTGTAGGTTATTGAGGAGGGTGGAGGCTATTAAAAGTTTGTCTGCTTCCTGCCTAAAAAACATGTTTCTCCATTTCTCATCCAGAGAAATATAATGTTCCGTCTTTTTAATATTTCCTAGAATATTTCATTTTCCTAGGAGAGGGGTGGGTGCTAACTTCCTACAATAGCAAATGATTATAGCATATTTACATAAACATGAAACAAAATCAAATCTATTGATACCAAATTAAATATCTTGTTCTCTGTATTTAATCGTGTTTTTTAAAAAAACTCTAAATTTGTATATACTGTTATTTATTTATCTATGCTGTTCAAAACAATCTCCATAAATGCCTTGCAAATTATATGGATACAATTTGTATGTAGAATATACTAGGTGTTGACAGTGCATTACTTTATCTTGCCTCCTTAGCAACTTAAGATCTTAAGAAAAAATACTGAGATTTCTCTTCTTCTGTACTGCTGTCCTTGGAGTGGTATTGGGATTTTAACTTGGTTCATTGCATTTTGGCCCGGTAAATGTTGCTCAGTCAAGTCTGTAAAATAAAACAGAAGCCAGTGGATGCTTATTTAATTTCTTTACTTATAAGATATTTGTATTAAGCAATAACTTGTTTAATGTATAAAATTAATTAGTTTTTACTTGGGTTTCAATATTATGAATTATTTAAACAAGATGTGAAAGGGAAATTAAAACAGAAAATCCTCGTTACTAAATATCTCACAATTTTGCAAAGCAACAGCATTAACAGCTTTGGAGCTGTGCACAACTTAAAAAAGAAAAACAAAATACAGCTCTCAGAGTTCAGTTTGGCAGCCACTCTGCATTCTGACTTTGCTTGAGTACTCAAATTATTCTCAAAGCTTTGTTGAGTGATTATTCATCAGAGGAGAGGGGGCAGGTAAAAGAAATTAAAACTAATTATTAGATTATCCATTGGTGTTTGTCTATCAGGCATGAAAGACCATATGAAGTACCAATTAAACTAATTTATTACTAATGGTATGTAGTTACAATAATCCACTTAACTGGCAGTTAGTACTATCTTGGCGTTAAAGAATGGTCAATGGAATTCAAGATGGGTTAGACTTATGCTGTCTGTGGCTACATAAAGACTCTAGGCCCATGATGGCAAACCTATGGCATGCAGGACCGAGGTGGAATGCAGAGCCCTCTGTGGGCATGTGTGGCATCGCCAGCTGTTCTTCTGGTTTCTGGCACCCACATGTGCACCAGCCAGCTAGTCTTCACGGGTGTTGGAGTGCCAGAAAACAGCTCCAAAAATGGCCTGAAAACAGCCTGAAAATGGCCAAAACCCACCCAAAAACAGGCACACACACCTGTTTTTTGGCCAGATGGCCTTCAGGTTTCCAGTGCTCTGGCCCGTGCACATGCATATACATGCACAGGCATTCCGGTTTGGGTACTCAGTGCTGAAAAAGTTCGACATCACTACTCTAGGCTAAGGTGACCAGACGTCCCACTTTTGGTGGGACAATCACGATTTTTAATAATTTGTCCCGCATCCTGCAGCGTTTTAAAAAGTCCCAAATTTGTAGAAAGGGTGCCCCGCCCTTTTTTGGTTCCACCATGTGGCTTCCTCTTGCAAACATTTTCACTCATTTTTCCAGGTCATCTTTGTCTATAGACTAGTGGCTGTGCGCTGGGAGGGCGGCCTGCGGGGACGGAGGCTGCACGGTGGCTGTGTGCTGCCGAGCACTAGCAGGAGTCGCGGGGCAGGCTGGCCGAGCGGCTTCACACGCAGCTCGCCTCACCACCCGATAGAGGCTGCCCGACTGCTTTCCCTCCACCCTTAAAAAAAAACAAGCAATCAGGTTGTTCGGGATTTTTTTTTTTTAAAAACCACCGAATTCCTTGAATGCCCGTGCGTGTGCGCAACGCAGCTAGGCGCGGGGAGCTCCGGGTCGTGCGTGCTTGGGATGACCCGGCCATGGAGGGGCAGTGGCAGTGAGCTGGGCAGGCAACCCGCTTGCTGATGAAGACGTGTTGGATGCGGCAGGGCCCGTGGCCAGGAGCAGAGCCAGCCACTGCTGCATTGATTGGGTGCCGCTGGGTCCCTGCGACAGCAGCAGCAGCAGTTCCCAGTTGCTACACCCTTAGCGTAGCAACCCCGCATTGCTCGTAATCTTGCGGCTCCGCGCAAAAGGCCGAACACGGAGGAAAGGAAGGCGCGTCGGGCATCCAGATCGCAGTGAGGAGGAGGAGGAAGGGGAGGAAAAAAGGGAGGGTGGAGGGAAGCAGGCAGAAGCAGCTGCAGCAGCTGGAGTAACAACCATGCTGCCCGGGGTGGGCGTGTTCGGCACCAGCCTGACCGCCGGGTCATCATCCCGCTTCTGAAGGACAAGGGCTTCGCGGTCAAGGCGCTCTGGGCCAGCACTCAGGAAGAACTGGCCAAAGAGATGAGCGTCCCCTTCTACACCAGCCAGGTAGAGTTCCTGCTGCACCAGGATGTGGATTTGGTCTGCCTCAACCTGCCGCTTCCCCTCACCAGGCAGATCGCGGTGAAAACTCTGGGTGAGTCTCCGCGGAGAGCTTGGGCAGCTGGCTGGACTTCCAAGAGATGGGGGGGGGGGGAAGGAATCCGTGGAAGAAGCAGCAGCGCCTTGAAATGGAAAAAGGCCTGCCCCCCCCCCCGTCAATGGTGTCCCGCTTTACCAATTTTAAAATCTGGTCACTTTACTCTAGGCTGATTCCTCTTTTCACTCTGCCCACAATTTCTATCACTCCTCCTATAGTGTCATTTACTAGTATTTTTTAAGCTTTCTAAAGAATTTACTTTTAATTCTGGAAGACCTTTTGCCAATGATAATGCCTAAAGTTGAATTTTTCCCTTAGCTCTTGTTCTATAATTTAAACACCTTTGAATAGTTTGATTTCAGAAATTATATTTTATTAATTATGAATTATATTGCTAATACCTGAAGAAATGAAGTAAAAGTTGAAATTAAGGTATTTTTCTTAGTTTGTAATTAATTGTAAATATGGAGAATGATATTTTCTAAATTTCTAAAATAGTGATACTTGTAATTTTAATTCTCAAATGATACTGTATATTTGATATTGTGTTTTCATTTCTTGTTGTAGAATAATAATATTTTGTTAAGATATTTAAAATACTGAATCCTGCAGAATATGTTAAGTTACTATTCCAAACAACTATGCATATATGTGCTATATTGAATTGAATAACTTTATTGATTTCCTGTTTGTTTTATGCATTATATATGCAGGGTCAATATACGTTCCTTTCATATTTTAATCTCATCTGGTGACAATTTGTAATGAATGCTACTGTATTAGCTTTTGTCTGACTTTGGATATTAAGTAAGATTTACTGTTTTCAGTAAATGCATAGAGAAATGCCGTGGCTGATGAATACACATGGAAGCAGATAAAACAAATATGAAATTTATATGCCACCCATCTCACCGTCAGGTGACTCTTATAAATGCATAGAAGCAAAGATAGAAACATAAAAACATTAACAGTAAAATTTGCAGAAATTAAGTAAGTTAGGTACCAGAATATAACAGGGTGTGGGTGAGATCTTCCTAGTTCACTAATCATTTCCATCAGGTGACACCTCCATTGGGACCTCAGGTCAAATGCCAGAGCCAGGTTTAAGGTTTTTTTTGGAAGGTGGGGTAAATCTTACTTTGAGGGGTATAATATTCCAAAACCTGGAAGTTGAAAAAACAATAAGAGCCTACAGGTATTCCTCAATTTATAACAGTTCATTTAGTGACCACTCGAAATTACAATGGCACCAAAAAGTGACCTTTGACCTTTTTTCACACTTACAACCATTGCAGCATCCCCATGGTCACATGATCAAAATTCAGAGCTTGGCAACTGATTCATATTTATGATTGCAGGGTCCTGGGGCCATGTGATTGATCACCTTTTGTTACCTCCTGACAAGCAAAGTCAATGGGAAAACCAGATTCACTTAACAACCATGTTACTAACTTAATAACTGCAATGATTAACTTAATAACAAGAAAGAAATGGCAAGAAAGGTTGTAAAAGGGGACAAAATTCACTTAACAAATGTCTTACTTAGCAACAGAAATCTTGGGCTTAATTGTGGTTGTAAGTTGACTACTTATAGTGGCAAATTGCTTTTGTGTGGTTGTCCTGAAAATGGTAAGAATGCAGCATCAGAATGCAGCATTGAGTAGTCCATTCTTGATTGAAGATGTAGCTTCATGCTGTATTTATATGATATTTCTTTCTTATGAAATTGTGTTTACACATTCCTTTAGTGGAAGCTTCTTTTATAACTTTACAAATAGAAGGTTCATGGGTGATCAGAAAAATAGAAAAGTTTATTTGCTAAATTTTGTAGTTACAATTATTTGTTTCTTATATTGCACATTCAATTAGAAACTACTCTATATTCTTTTATGTCTTGTTCTCAATTTTATGATTGTTTCAAATATTATATTAAGTAATCATATGGCTGATTGGCTCCGGCATATAGTAGTTTCCTGTGTGACTCCACTTTACAGTGTCTCAACATTGGTATATGAGTGACTGAATGAATCCAATAATTATATCTTAATCACTAAACTGCCTAAAGAAACTGTGATTTATTACATTATGTAAATCTCATTTATTATCATTTATCATTTATTAAAATTTATAGGCCGCCCTTTTCCCTGAGGGGACTCAGGGCGGCTTACAATCACGAGGGA